CTGCTTCTGGATCTATCAAAATATGAAGGTTACTTAAAATATCAATCTTCTAAAATCTGCCCTTGGTTTATGACAGTTCATGTTCATTCCAAAACAAAACATACTTTCTCCTTCTCCATGACTGATACTCACTTCCTAATTAAACATCTATCCTGCCAGGGTCCACTGCTCTGGAAGCAGAAGCAGGCAGATCTCTGTGAGTTTGAGGTCAGTTTAGCAAGTTCGAGTACAGCCAGGACTACAGAGAAACCCTGGGTCAAAAAAAAAAAAGTTAAAAGTCAGGGTCAAATTTCAATAACGTTGAGATGCAAATGAGGTTCTTAGATCTATGCTTGAGCTCTTTTTTTCCTAGATATTTTTATTTAACTTAGAAACAATCTTATTTTATATATCAATCCCAGTGCCCTCTCCCTCCCCATCCTCCCATGTTCCCTACAAACCCCCATTCCATTCAGCTTCTGTTCCCCAGGGAGGGTGAGGCCTTCTATGGGGGATCGTCAAAGTCTGTCACATCATTTGGGGCAGTGTCTAGGCTGAGAGAGTATCCCTCTAAGGGGAATGGGCTCTCAAAGTCCATTCATACACTAGGAATAAATACTGTTCCACTACCAGAGGCCCCATAAACTGCCCAGGTCTCCTAACTGACACCCACGTGCAAGTGGTCTGGTTCCATCCTATGTTGGTTTCCCAGCTGTCAGTTTGGGTTCCATGAGCTCCCCCTTGTTCTGGTCATTGTTTCTGTGGGTTTTCTCAGCCTGGTCTTGACCCCTTTGCTCACCACTCCTCCCTCTCCACAACTGGATTCCAGGAGTTCATTGACCTCTTTTTTGCACAATCTGAACACCTGTAACTAAAAGATATGAGCAAACCTTCTGTACACCAAAAATACCTAAGTAATTCAGAAATCAGATAATCACTAGATATTCCCATTCAAAGTCATGGGGAGAATAAGGAATGGCGTGGAATGTGAATGGTCAGTAATTATTCTGCTACGTAGTAGGGCATATGTAGCCAGCACCTACAATGCTCCTTAGATTTTCAAAGGGATAATCTCAAGAAGATAAAGCTACAAAGCAAGTGTTCCAGGCTCTTTCTGACTCTGCATCATTCCCAACATTCTAGTGATTATAAGCAATCACTAAGTTAGCTTAGAGAAGTCTGGCTGCAGATTTGATGATGGGATGCCAAAACCACACTCAGAAAGCATGTAGAATGAGAGCTATCACTGCCTCTATCTATAGAAAATGTAAAAACGCATAACTAATGTGAAAAGATGGCAAGATGATAACTACTGAGGCTTCTATTACAGTTATTCTAAACTGCAATATTAATATAGAAAAATTAGTATCACTGCTTACAGGACTGGGGATGGAATTCTGTGATAAGGTGATTGCTTATCGTATGTGAGGCCATGGGTTCAATCCCTGACTCCATAAACACATATACATAGTTTCTCAGCCTAAAAAACTGGAAAATTATAATAATGATTCACTATTTGGTCTCTTTTTACAAATGATGACTAGCTTATCTGAGTTTTACTCTGTTAATGCTAGCTACATTTTCTATATTAGGCCCATGGCTTCTACTATATTATGATAGCTACTTTGCAAAATATAATGAGCATATACATAAAAGATGAATATTTTAATATAACAGCTTGGTGTTGCCATATGATTTGAAAATGAGCCTATTTATCATTTCAATTATTATACCACATTGTATATGAGGGGGAAAACATACCATTACTTTAACTCTGTAAACTTTAAAAATTAAGGAATGTGAAAACATCTTATTTTTGCAGTTTGAATACACAACAATCAAGTAGAATACTGAAAACTAATCTTATATTTGTATGCCATAAAAGCGATCTGTTGGGAGAAGGCAAGAGTCTCTACCAAAGATTGAGAACTTGAACTGATCTGAAGGACAACTAGCAGAGGCTTGCCTTTTCCCATTGGAGGTTATGTAGGGAGGGAATGATCAGGAAATAAGCTAGAGATAATAAAATGGGCACCTGTAGCCAAGCGGTGGTGGTGCACACCTTTAATCCCAGCACTTGGGAGGCAGAGGCAGGCAGATCTCTGTGAGTTCGAGGCCGGGCTGGACCGACAGCCTCCAAAACAATACAGAGAAACCCTGTCTCGCAAAACCAAAAAATAAAAAAATAAAAAAAATAAAATGGGCACCTGCGTACTAGGCAAATATTTTATCAGTGATCTACCTCTAAAGCCGCTGTTTTGTTTCTTAAAAGGAAAAGTTTACCATGACCAACTATAACTTGTAAAAAGCTGATACTGGTTAAAATAACTTGAATTAGAAAAGAAGACCAAGAACTCTCCTGCCTGCAGGATGTGCCAGGACAACGGTAGCACAGGACTTGTGAGAGTGGCCACCAATGACTGGTCTAACTTAAAGTCCATGCCAGAAGAGGGAGCCCACACTTGACAATGCCTGGAGGGCCTGGAACCAGAGGTAGGACAGCCCAGAGAAGCCAGAGGGGTCAAGGATACCAGAAGAACACAGACAACAGAGTCAAATAATCAGGCTCATAGAGGTTCACAGAAACAGGAGCAACAACCATAGAGTCTACATGGGTCTGAGCTAGGTCCTCTGCATATGTTATGGTTATATAACTTGCTGTTCTTGTGGAACTCCTGCGGGTTGGGGGTATCTCTGACTCTTTTGCCTGTTCTTGGGACTCTTTTCCTCCTACTGGGTTGCCTAGTCTAGCCTTGATATGAGGGTTTGTGCCCAGTCTTATTGTAGTGTGCTATGCTGTGTTCCGTTGATATCCTTGAGAGGCCTGTTCTGTTCTGAAAGGAATCATGGGAAGAATGGATCTGGGGTAGAGGGGAGTAGTGGAGGGAGGGAGAACTGGGTGGAGGAGAGGGAGGAGAAACTATGGTAGGGAGGTAACATATGGGAAACAGGACCCAAGTATGTAGGCATCAAAGAAAGTTTGCAATGGCATTTATTAGGAAAGTGAACACAAGACCAATAGATGGTCCATCTGAGTGCACTTCTTTACCCAGAACAATCTACATGCTGCCTAGGTAAGTGTGAGGATTTTGTATAAAAAGTTCTTTATGAAAAATAATCTACATGCTGCCTGGGTAAACGTGAGGTTTTGTTTTCTTTTGTTTCGTTTTGTTTTGTATTAAAAGACAGAACGTTTCCTAAGCAACATCTGCTCTTAAAAACTCACTGATGTGGAAGAAACCAAACTCGATGTTCTCAAAGAACAGAACAGCCTAGCTTCTTTCAGAGGTAGAGCTTGCAGAGAGCCCAGGACATGAAGAATCTGGTGAAAACACAAGCAGTAAAAGGGGTTTCTGAATAGCCCTGTCAGGATGCTCACTGCAGTAACAAGAGATCTGTAAGAGCACACAAGTCTACAGGACTTGGAGCAAGCTCACCTCATCTGGTCTGAACCCAGATATTGACCTTCCATCCTGCTAAGACAAGAACTTCAAATGACCCCCACTCCATTTTCCCCATAACCAAATAAATGCATCTGTGAGGTATCACAAAAAAAAAAAAAGGTGCTGGGAACCATACTCAGGCCTCTGGAAGACCCAACTATTTTCTTAAGCTGTAGACTGTGAAGTATTGAAAGTCCTTTAGGAATAGAACACTGGCTCTTTCTAGTGCCATCCAGTTTTTAAGATGAATAGGTAGGATTATAAATTAATGGCAACAGAGTCTCTAAATGTGTCTCTCTTGGTGTAAGGGGGAATCCAACTCTATCCAGATTACCTAGAATCGTCATGGTTGGAATTCTGTTTTACTTTTCTGTACTTAAGTGTAAAAACAGCAAAACAACACTGTTGGGATAAATACTGTTTTCTGAGGCCTGATCATTGCCTGCTTCTCCTCTTCCTTGTTTGCAGCAGTCCTTCTCTGTCCTTGTCCCTGGGAGTGGTTCTGTTTATGTGGATCTTATGGGTACAAACGAGCTATCAGTTAGGGCACAGGCCTGCCACAAACCCAAGAATTCACCCTCTCAAGTCTGCATACTCTTCTAGCACTACTTGAAGGGTTAGGGTTTTCCTGGACAACTCTCTTGGTATTAAACTTTTCCTTTAGAAGAACAAAGCATGTGTCTGGTTTGAGACCTAGTTGTGGTTTTTAAAGATTTGCACAGGATGCGCCACCCTCTGCCACCAAGACATGTATCCCTCCCATTGGGTTAAGGATGTGCCAGCAAGTACTTCTTCAGGCTCCAGACTAGAGACTATTGTCAGAAAAGGAAGGCAGAATCTCCTCCATCCCAGATGCAATCGATATTTCTCCTCGATCAGCTCCACAAGGACCCCTCACAGGACTGTCTTACATGCAACTTTTCCCTGAAGAAATGTTCCCATGATATCATCTGATTTTTAAAGCTATGTCTTCTGTCTGTCTTTAACAATCTCTTTTTAATAAATTACATTTTTATTGTGTCTGGAATTTTTATGTCTCTTCTCTAATTTGATTCTTTTGAATCAAATACATTTTAATTGAGGCACTGAATTCTGTACATTTGGTAAAAAGCATTCTTTATTTTAATTTAGTATTTTTTATCATTTGTGCAAAAGATCTTACCATTTACACAAAGCTTAAGAAGAATTTCTCTTGAAAATAAAGTACTGTTTCATTAATGTACCTTTGAAATTTGAGTAATAGAATATTTGCCTAGCATGTGTGAGACCCAGGGGTTGATCTCCAGCAACTCCCTCCCTCCCACCCATCCACCCACCTCCAAAAAGTTAATGTAGATAGACTGTGATTACAAAATTATATATACATACATGAGTGCACAGTTCTGAGATTTTACAAGTCACACATGCTTAATGATGAGAACCTTTCATAGCCAGGAGTTATCCCTACTCGCTAGATGAAGCGTCAGCAAATATCAAACACCTTTTTCTAAGGTGAAATTGCCCATATGTATTTTAAGAGCATTGGCTAGGAAGAAGACTGGCAACGAAACTTGGTTTTCAAAGTATATTTTCTCTTACATAATCATGGAAGGCCTTTGCTTCACTTGAGTGCTCACATGTTTCCCGTCTCTCTGGAGCTGCACAGTAGAGATCCCAAAATACACTGAAAAGTAATTATGGAAAATTAAGACAATCATTAATATGATAAGATGAGAAATCACAATTCAACAAACATGAGACACATAATACTTTATACAAACCCTTTCTTCTTCGGGACAAGTATTATTTCTCTGAAAGATTTAAATTCAGACAAGTTGTTTAATGAATAACTGCATTTTTCCTAAACATCTTTCCAAATGGTTAAACATTTTCCTAAAAGGATAAAAACTTTTAAAACAATGTGTTTTTGTCCTGTCCTGAGGATCAAACCCTTATGAATAAGTTGTTGAAAACCTTTGTTCTTGTAATTGGCTTTTCACATGCCTGACAATTAGCTGAAATAATGTGTCAGCCAACTTTCCCATGAAGGACAGAAATAGAAATGATGTCCTACTGTAATTAATAAGTTAAAAGTAGGTACTCTTTTGCAAGGAATCTTACTGTCCAGTTCACAGGCTACTACCCTAACATCGAACTGATCAAACAAGTTTTTCTTAAAAACCTGTTTTGTCCTTCAATTACAAAAATAGGTTAATAATTCTGAAACTAAAATAATCCATCTCAACTCCTTTACTGTCCTAATTAAAAGATTATACTGAAAAAAATAGGCCCTGGTCATCCTTCCAGCTGTCAAGTTAACTGTAGCACAAACAAGGATTGAAAATCATGGCAAGCAGTTGTTAGAGGGCTGCTACGAGCAAAAGTTCTCAAGTCATTTTAGTCCATTTTACCAAGTCTATGACGTGAAAGGTACACATACCCACACGGTCAAGAGCACAGTCATCAGAGCCGAGCAGAGGCCAACTGCTGCTTACCAGCTGTGGAAGACTGGTTAGAAATGATTTCCTCCTCCACATGGTTTGACTTTTGAAATTAAATCACACAGCACAAACATGTCAACAGGACAGTAAGGATACACTATGTTTCCAACTGTAATCTGTGTAAGGGCCCAGTAACCTTTGACCTTTGAAGCCTCATTTAGTCTGGCTCTTTCCTCAACAAGAAAACCCTGTGAGCCTAGTAGAGGGGATGGTAGACTCAGTAGGGCTGAGGGGCTAAGCACTGTCACCCTTCAGTGTCTTGTGTACTTCCTACTCCTTTTCCCACTGAGTGGAAAGAAAATCTATTTTCCTTCTTATTAAAACCCTACAATAAGAGAGAAATACAAAGAAGAAGACAAAAGTAAGGTGAGTTCAATATTCTGACAAGAATGAGAGCTATTAAAAGTGTATGTGGCTCCCCAGAGCCCTACCAGGATTAAAGAGTATGGATATTCAGGGATAGCGCTAGACTACCACAAGGGTAAGAAGTGCATCAAGTACAGTGTCCTATGACTACTCATTTCCATCTTCTTAAGGAAATGTGAAACCTAAAAGCAAAGTATTTACTTACAGTCACAGAATGCTATACACAGCATCATGATAAGCACCTCAGTATTTCTTCTTATTCTCAAATATCCTTCCTTTGCTGGCAAGTGTCCTAAGACCTCTCCCGAAAGTCATCCTGTAACTTCGTTTACTTATTTATTTTGCTTTTCTACTGTTTGACATAAAGTTTCATCTAACCTAGACTATCCTCAGACTCTGTAAGCACTGATGACAATGAACTTCTAACCCTTCAGTCCCCACCTTCTAAGTGCTGAGACTACAGTCATGTTCCGACCAGATTACACAATTGTTGTTTTCACTGAGTATGTTCTAAAACCTATTAAAATTTTTATTTACATAAATATTTATCTTATAACATTAACACTGTTCTATTTTTCCCTTAACAACTTTAGTGTGCAATCAAAAGTATACAGTTTTAAGTTTGTAGATAATCCGCAAGTTAATAAAATGTAAAAATAAGGTCACATTTGTTACTTTAGAGAAATATGGTCTTCTTTAATAAAGGCAAAAAATGCACCACTTAAAAACATCTGCCTGCCTCACAAAAAAAATTTAATGATGGCAAGCCTTGTCCTAGGCTATCTCACAGCATCTCAGATAAGTGTAAATTCTTTCCATACTATACTGCTTAGTTTTGTCAACTTGACACAAGCTAGAGTCACCTGGAAAGAGAGAACTGTTTCCTTTTGATTGGTCTGTAGGCATGTCTGTAGGGGTGTTTCCTAATGAATGATGGATGTGGGAGGGTCCTACTGTGCATGTAGTCCTTTTGATTGGTCTGTAGGCATGTCTGTAGGGGTGTTTCCTAATGAATGATGGATGTGGGAGGGTCCTACTGTGCATGTAGTCCTTTTGATTGGTCTGTAGGCATGTCTGTAGGGGTGTTTCCTAATGAATGATGGATGTGGGAGGGTCCTACTGTGCATGTAGTCCTCTTGATTGGTCTGTAGGCATGTCTTAGGGGTGTTTCCTAATGAATGATGGATGTGGGAGGGTCCTACTGTGCATGTAGTCCTTTTGATTGGTCTGTAGGCATGTCTTAGGGGTGTTTCCTAATGAATGATGGATGTGGGAGGGTCCTACTGTGCATGTAGTCCTTTTGATTGGTCTGTAGGCATGTCTTAGGGGTGTTTCCTAATGAATGATGGATGTGGGAGGGTCCTACTGTGCATGTAGTCCTCTTGATTGGTCTGTAGGCATGTCTTAGGGGTGTTTCCTAATGAATGATGGATGTGGGAGGGTCCTACTGTGCATGTAGTCCTCTTGATTGGTCTGTAGGCATGTCTTAGGGGTGTTTCCTAATGAATGATGGATGTGGGAGGGTCCTACTGTGCATGTATTCTGAGGTGAATAAGAAGGTAGCTAAGCAAAGCAGAGGGTACAAGCCAGTGAGCAGCAGCACTCCTGCTGAGATCCGGCTTTGGCCCTTCTGGGATGGACTGATGGTGACCTAAAGTTACGCCAAATAAACCTTCTCCTCCTCAAGCTGCTTTTAGTCAGCAACAGAGAAGCAAACTAGAACACATGCACTCACATCCTTTATTCTATGGAGTCAAAGATTATGTAGCCAAGGGAAGCCAGGAAAAGACAGGAGAAAGTATGTCAAAGAACACTCATAAAATCAGATGTTTTATTTTATAAACTATATTTATTATGAGTATATTTAAGTTTATAATGATCTAAGATATATATCATGAAACTTTGAAAATAGAATTAAAACCCAAGGGAGAGGAAGCTTGGATTGACATGTGAAGCAAGCTTGTTTCTAATTTAAATTTTAAAAAATGAAAAAAAACATGAAATAAAAAATTAAAACCCAAATAGGAAAAATGTCAGTGCTAGAATATGCACGTTTGAAGAAGTCATCATCTACCTTATGTTTGTTGCGCTCTAACAACTATGAGTGGTAAAGATACTTCAAAGCTATCTTTTCATAAGGTTCAATCATGTTTTGACAGTGATACACGTCATGTAGCACTGTGACTATCAACCTAATATTTGGAACAAAGGGCTACATTAGCAAAAAACAAAAACAAACTGCAGGAACACCAAAGGACATGGTTTTTTTAGTCCATAATAAGGACATTAAAGCCAGAAGCTCTCTACTGGATCCTTCAAAATTGACAACAAAAATTTAAACTTTTCTTCTAATAATATTTAAAATCTTGTTTGGATTATATGTCATATACTGCGCGTGGGGAAAAAATACATACCACATAGTGACTGAATCTTAAAGCAAATAGTTCAATTGCTAAATTTCCTAAGTATAGATAGAAGTTGTATTTCATAAATAATTACACTTCATAAATTCCATGGGCTTGCATATGGAATGAGCTTATCTCCTGAAAAAGATTCACCAAAATAGTTAATTTGTCCTTCCTGAAGGAATTTTATTGTGAACTGTTCCTTGGTTCCCAAGACCTCTATAGCACAGGATTCTGGACTTCTGTGGAGACAGACTCTATAACCTGAAATGCTAGAGACTAAGGAGCTAGAGTGTTGAGCATTATCTGTGGTATACAGTGAACTCATCATGGCAATTAATGCTTTAGATTTACACACTGTTTTTCATTGAGAAAGAAGTAGAAAATGCTAATTCTATAAACAAAGACAAAAGCTATATAAACAGAAGCAAAATTTGCCAAGTGATAAAATATTTGGGTTTATAGCATTTATTAGATTTATAATTAAAGTCTGCCCAGTGTAAATCAACAAAAGTAAACTTAATCCCCAAATTTATGGTTTTCCCAAAAATAGTTTACACTTCCATTCCTGAGGCCATGATTCCAGCATGACTTAACTAGCTTAACATGTAAAGGGAACACAAAAACAAAATGGCTGCCAGGCATCTATAAAGTTTAATTATCAGGCAACATGTGACCCAGAAGATAGGACTTTATTACAGGAACTAGATATAGACTTTCTAAAAGCAGAGATTTGAAAAATAAAAGATAATCAAAAATCCCTATATGAAGTTTTTTCAGAAAAAATAAAATTCAAGTAAAAACAGCTCCAAAAGTCATTTCTTTTTGAGTGGCCCAGAGTATATAAATGAATGTTAAGTGGTCATAATCCCTACAATAGTTTGGATCTGGAATGTCCTGTGTGTTAAAAGCATACTCAGCTTGGCACTATTTTGTAAGGACAGGGTGTGGGGACATATGAAGGGCTTTAAAAGATGGGACCTAGTAAGGCTATCTTCTGGTACCCTTGAAAGACAGTGAAACACCAGATGATGCTCTTCCAAACCATTAGGTAAGGTGGCTGTTCCATCGTGTGCTCCAGTCATGACAAGTCTCCAAAATTGTAAACCACAAAGTCATTCTTTTCTCTCTGTAAGCTGATTGGCCCAGGCATTTTTTTATACTAGCAGAGAGCACACTAACATACTCTGTTGAATAAAACTACTTATTCACAGGACCAAGGGTGCTTTACATAAAATATGCATACTTAACTCTTCCCCTTAGGACTTCCACACATGTGCATTTTAACAATAGTAAAAAGTATTTAATAGCTTTTTTTTTTTCAGGGAGTTTGGTTTATTAATTCTTTCACTGCAATATCATGAAAAAATTACTGTTGGCATAGTTTTAAACATGTGTAAATGTGTACTACT